TTAAAATACATGCTAGATGACACATGAAACGGAAAAAAAGTGAAATTTTGGAGTCTCAAGAGCATGGGTCTAAAACCTGGCTTTGTCACTAATACTACATGTCACTAATTCTTGTTATACAAGTGACACTTTTTGTTTCTCTTTTCTTCATGGGAAAATGAACATGATACATTTTTTTTCCTGAAGATTTATAGCTTATATTTAATACATGGCTATAAAAGACTTGATACATAGCAGATCCTCATTAATTTCTTAATAAAGACAATGAAAACTGTGTGGACTTCCTTCACACACACACACACACACACACACACACACACACACACAGAGAGAGAGAGAGAGAGAGAGGCAGTGATGAGTTTTTATAATTGTCCAATTTGAAAGCAACACACCTAAAATTAACACACTATTTGAAGCACTTTTCCATCTACTCTCTTTCCTCCCGCAATAACCTCAGGGATTAGTAGGCAACTATTGTATTTTACTTTCTTGTAGTCTTGTCCCATAGGTACAAAAATTAGAGATTTTATCCAAAGGAATGCTCTCTCAGCATTATTAGAAGGTTCTGTGTGCTAGAAATGTCAGAAACAGTGCTTTATAATTCTTAGCTATTTAGAGCTGAAAACTACTTAAGAAAAGTTAGAAAAATATCTTTAAGTTTAGAAAAATGTAAGTATTGGCTGAAACAAATGCATTTTTGGAAGACTATTCAGTACAAAGGAGTCCCTTTCATAAATTCATTAGGCCAATTGTTTGGTATTCACTGAAATGGGTTTTGTCATTTGTGGTTGTTTTGCTGGCGATGGGAGACACCTGTCTCTTGTTTGTGATACAGTGGGATGTGCAGATGGGTCCAACTGATGGAGGTTTTAAATGGTGGTTAAAAAAAAATAAACCAATTTAAGTTTAAATGGAACTAAGTGGTTTCAAATCTGATTTTTCCCCTTCCCCAGACATTGAAATTGTTTTGTGTTCCACTCTGTGCATCTTATCTAACTGTTTTACTCTCTTCCCTTTGGGTATTTTCCCTAAAGAGAGGGGCTGGAAGAGAATCGCTTAAATGCCTGTGTCTGTATGAGGACAAACTCAAAGCTCATGACCACTTTCTCCTTTGCAGCTTTCACACTGTCCAACATGTACTCAAGATTTAATAGATGAATGGAAAAAGAAAATGTGGTATATATACTCAATGGAATATTACTCAGCTTTAAAGAAGAGTGAACTTATGGCATTTGCCAGTAAATAGCTGGAGTTGGAGAATATCATGCTAAGCGAAATTAGCCAGTAACACAAAATAAAAAGACCGAATGTTTTCTCTAATATAAGAATGCTAATTTACAATAAGGCAGGGGGGACTAGGGACGAATAGCATTACATTAGATTAGGTAGAGGGAAGTGGTGGGAGGGGATGGGAGGGGATGTGGGGATAGAAAAGATAGTAGCATGGAACAGATATTACTACTGTATGTATATATGTGACTACATCATGACCAATATGATTCTGCAACATGTACACTCAGAAAAATGAAAAATTATATCCTATCTATGTATAATATGTCAAAGTACATAAATGCATTCTACTGCCATGTATAACCAATTAAAACAAATTAAAAAATTAAAAAAAGAAATATACAATAGCAAATGAAAAAAAATGTGGTATATAGACCTTTCAAAAACTTTCCTCACAACAGATTACCTTTCTATAGAAATTCCCCAAAAGATTTGCATTAACACAGGTAACTATTTGTGAAAGAGATTGAGAAAGAAAAATTTCTTCAAAATCATGAAAATAATTTTCGTACAGAAATTATTTTAAGCTTTAGGCTTGAGGTTCTAATTACCTTCAATCTAAAATTTAAGTAACAAATCTACTCCGAGGAGACCACTCCCCAGTCTCCATGTGACCAACCTGCAATGCAGGGCAATAGAGAGAGATCTCTGATGATCCAGAGGCCAGGAGACAAACGCATGGAGTTCGGACAGAGTGTTCAAAGTGCAAAGGATAGTTTGTTAATTTCTTTGATTTTAAATATCATCATTCAAGAAAAGTGCTTCTTATTCAGGTGTCCTTTAAAAATGCTGGGTAAACAAAATTTAGTATGCTTTTACAGCAAGACTTTTCAGTCCTGCTTATGACTTAGGAGACCAATCATGTGTTTTCTAGGATTAAAGTTTCCTAAAAGTAGGACTTTCAGTGCTAAAACTGGAAAAATCTCAGGTATATTGCAACTAGTTGCTTGTATATAACTCTTCAAAAAAATGTCAAAATATGCTACATTTCTCAACCTCATTTATCTGTGTACACCATGGCAGAAGAGCATCTTGAGGCCTTCAAGTTCCACAGGGTACATTTTTAGGAGTGCTGGAGTACAGAAAGGTTGTCTAGATCTCTCCATCAGTAGAATGAACAGTGATTTCAACCTTCATCTTATCTGGCAGGAGAAATATTTTTGCAATCAAGTATCCACTAGCAGCATTAAATGTTATTTCCCATGGGTGAGAAAAATGTGTGTATGCTGGAGTTGGGAAAAAAACCTACATCTGGAACACATTTATTTTTTCCTTCTTAAAGCATATGTATGGCAGGTATAGAAATAATCAAGAGAGAAATACATTATATAAGTATGTACTATATGTGTTAATATGAAAAGAAATTTAGCTTAGAGTTGGAATGCATAAAATCAATATGGCATACACAAATCTGAAGCTACTTAAAATTCCACTTCTTTTGTTCCAACTTGAGCACTGAAATTCTTCTACATCATTTTGAACATCGGTGCTTTCCCCTCCTTCTGACATTTCACATTGGACAGTCTTTTTCTCTCACCAGGCTGCTCTCTCTTTTTCTTTTTCATCCAAAGTCTCCTTTTTATCCTCCACAACTGTCTTTTATATCTGAGTGCAGCATTGCAACGCTGTTCCAGATTCACTTGTGGGGGAAAATAGATGAGCTAGAAGAGCATGAGGAAGGGGCAAGGGGTCCGATTTGAGCTTGGCTGAAGACATAGACTCACTTTGCAGATTTCTCAAGAGTTAATGTCTATAATAATATTTTCTACTCCCATTCTAAGTTGAGGGTCCTATTACCAATTATGGGGAAGTAGAACAATGGTCTCTCTTTTCATGTATGCATAAATTAATTTCATTCTTTGTAACTGACATCACTGCTCTTCCCAGTTCCTTCATTCACCCCTTAATTTAATATTATTCATCAAGCATCTACTCTACGGAAGGTCCACTTCTATGAAGCTCTGCTGGTTGAGTCTTTACTTGTAGTCTTCATTTTTAGTCTTCTGAGAGTGGTGTGACTTACTTTAAACTCACTTACTCTAGAATCTTCAAGACATCATGGGAAGGTGCCATTTTCCTCCTCCCTCTAGGTTTGCAATATTTCTTAAGTTAAAGCTGAAGCTCAGAGAGTTCTATTCTTTCATGTCACTAAATTGCAGTAAGAGTCTTTCTGGATGTGAGGAAGTAATATGAGTGTTTCACTTTTCAAGTTATATTATTTGGTGGATGAAGCAAATTTATGTGGCATAATCATTGTAATTCCCTAAAACCCCAGAAAAGATAGGGTCCCTCCACACACTCTGGTTCCATGTCAAATTAAATGAAGGCATCAAATGGATTTCCAAATGATTCTATTCTCTGGCCAAAGCCATTTGGTGTTTTAATAAGTAATTTGGAAGTGAAATAAAGTATTCACATAGGGTAAAATTACCTCAATTACCTACAAACTAACTAGAATCCTAAAATAACTTCAAATTTTTTCTCTGCACACCACTTTTAGGATAATAGAGTAGATCACAAATGAACAAATTGATATATTGATATCAGATGCTATATACTTCAAAAATAAAGTGAATGTAGAAAAAAAAGTAGCTCTCAGGCAAAGCTTGCAATGGATTTTTTGCAAGACTTCTCTTGGGTTTTCTTGACATCTTTTAGATCCTGAATACGAAAAATGGTGCTTATTTTTGAGGCTGGTTTAGGTTTCTGGGTATCATCTTGCCTTATTTTTACTGGAATGGATCATATTCTTACATTTTTATTGTTGTTGCTTTTCAGTCCTCTTTCACTAAGTTGAAACACATTTATAGTTACTTTAGTATAGTAAAACATTCACATATTCAATCTTATGTTAGAATTTCAAATAATTGAAACTGCAACATGCAAACATGAATGGGAACATTTGGAAATTTAGGTACACTTTTTTGTTGTTTTTAGTGTTAATGCATTGTTCAGCTGAGCAAATATTTAATGAACTCCTACATACAACAGTTCTTGTATTGTGATATACAAGTAATAATACTAATTAGTCCCAGGCACATATGCACACAGATTATTTCCATGAATCAAACTAATAGTGTACAAGAAAAATTTATGAGAGATATTTAGCTCAATCAAGGGATTGAAAAAAATCATCCTGAAGAATATGATTACCAATTTAGTCTTGAGAGATGAACAATTTTTAAACAAACACATGAGAAGAATTTCAGGAAGAGGGAAGAGCATTAACAAAACATTGAGGTATGAAATCAACTGATGGTTTTTCTCAATGATCTACTCTCTACACAAGAGTGTACCTGAGTGTCAGGTCTGAGGTGTAGAAGATGCATGATGAGGATGGAGGGGCAGGAACTGAATCAATTCCAGAGGTCATTGTATCTCCTAGGGAAAACCAACTTTTATCCTAAGGTTGATATCCATTTGGGGGTTATAAGCCAAGGGGTGGCATGCTTAGATAAGTATTTTACATAAACAATTCTGGCTATGCAAATACAAAAATTTTAGGATTACAAGACCAAAAGCAAGCAGACCTTTTACAAGGCTGTTTTTCCTAAAGCCATACACAAAAAATGTCAAGGGGCTGAAATAAGAGATTGTGGAGGTCTGAAGATAAAGATCTAAGAACCATTCACAATACAAAACCCACAAAGTGTGCTAATTTATAGGATTCAACTTGCTTTATAACTATGCCACATTCTATTTCAAAGCAGATCTCAGCATAAGGGAGTTTTCTTCGTGAAAACCCATGGGTTTCCTGAATCAACGCCTGGATATGGTTGGACAGCCTGGACTTCAAAGGTAATGTGAGCATGAGTTTCCAGAATATAGCCATTTAATATCATCCCACTATTTAAGATGCAGTAAAATAACTCTACTACTAATTCTTTTCTTTAAAATGCCAGCTGTGTTTCTCTTTAATTATATTTAAAAATAACACCTACTTTCAAAGATAACCACATTCAAGCTGCTATTATGGTTGTCTTTTGAGTAACTGAACAAAATCCCTAGCATTGTAAAACTCTCCATTCCTTAAGGATTAGCTCTCAAACTACATTACGAGGCCTGAGAGGACCAGAAAAGACGGCGCTATATAACTCTACATGTCCTTTCACCACGTTGCCACCACTGCCACTTAGATCATTGCGTCAGAAATTCTATGTGCCAAAGGTCATGTTTTTCTGTTAGTGTCAAGGTCTCTGGAGAGGACAGTCAGTTCATCTGGAATAATTCCTGATCTATCTAAATGCTTACAAGAGCATGTGAAATCTCTTAGCACAGCCAGGACCAAATATATGCAGAATACACATTTTGTGTAGATGAAATTATAGAGATGAGCTCCCTCTCTAACTGACTCTATTACCATGATTTTTTTTCCTGTGGATTTCACCATGAGAAAATACTGAGAGAACAGTACCCTATTAGCCAAACCATAGGAAAAAGAATGAGAACACACCTGGAAAATGAGAGAAAATGGGAGGAAGGAAAGATAATTTTATAAGAAATACTACTTAATTAGGAATGGATCCAGTTTAAGTGATCCATCTGCAGAACAGGTTGTTGAAAGTATCAGACCAACCTTATTTAAAATCCAGCAAATCCCCTTTTTATTCTTCTCAAAGAAGGATCCGCACCAAATACACAATTAAAAGATTTTTCAGAACCAGTTCACTAACTGACAGGCACTGGAAGAATTCTTTTGGCTTAACTCATTGAGCTAGGATACTCACATTATTTAAACATATTGTTTTCTATTTATTCCTGGATTTTCTTAAAATCCCCAAGCTATAACAAGTGTGTAATTTACCAGAGAATATGAAATTGCTCTTTGTTAAGTACACATTGGAAATCATACACGACAATATGTATTGTATATTTAATTCAGTAAAAAAAGCTATATTTTCAAATCCGAATTTGAAACCAATTCAATGCAATTTGGCATGCACTGCTGCATGCCTAGGCATTCTTATGCATTAAACACAGTCTGAAAACAACAGAAATTTTCTGCTTGCTTGAAAGTATCCAATCCAGAGAAGTGTATTTTATAAAAACCTCCAGTACAAAAATACCTTAAGAGATATAATTGTGGATTTAACTACAGCAACATCTAGGGTATTTATTCAATAAAGACTCACAGACAACATTGCTAATGTGAGTAGCTGACTAGTTGGTGTATCTAACACACACAGGGAGTCTACTAGAGAATATGCCACAAACTCCCGAAATTCAATGACAACCTGAGAACAGAAACTTTATGTTTTTCTCTTAATTGTAGATGTCTCCTCACTTCCTCCCAGTTTCTGCATAGTGCACCATCAAAACAGCAGCCAAGGTGATCTTCAAGATCACCGGTCCCATCACAACATACCTCTGTGCTCCAGACTTTCATAAGGGTGCCAGGAGCCATCCATTACCCATGTGTAAACTGAGTGATGTTGAAGCCTTTAGGCACAGAAGCCCAGTTTTGGACACTTGGAAGTTTGAGAACGCCCTATTCACATGGCACCCTGTTCTAGTGCATTGCTCAAGTTCAAGCATAACCTCCCAGAGATGGGTGTAGCTTGTCAAATGTCAATCAACCTTTTTACTGCAAGACCCCTGCCACACCAAGAAGCAAGCATGGAACCAAGACTCCACTAGCTGAAACCTTATCCCTGCCTTTGATGTACTCCTCCTTAAATAAAGAGTGAGGGCCTTTTTCAATGAGTCAGTTCCAGCTCCCATCAGGACTGGAAGACCCATCAGACTCTCCTCTTTTTATATCTAATTTTTGACTTTGTTTTTACTTCTTACTGATTATTTCAGATATTTTATTTTCCCAGGTAGCTCACACCTTCTGGGTAGGAACCTACCCTTTTGGGGTACAGGCTACCCAGTTAGAAAGTCTCCCAGTTCACTCAAAGGAAGAGCCATTCCCTGTGGGAGAATCTGAAAGATCACTCTCCCTCTCTTTCCTCATCTTCAACCAAGCAACTTCTTACCCACTTTAGTCCAATTAACATCTTTGATCTTCTTGGAATATCTCAAAATGCACCCACTTCAGAGGTTCGGCATCTATAGATCTCTCTGCTAGAATGTCCCTCATTTATTTCAGGGTTTGTTCCCTCTTCCCCTTTTTTATCTTTCTCCCAACTTTCCTGATCACTCTCCAAACACTGGCAACCCTCCCTTCCCTTATCCCACTATTTTCCTTCTTCATAACACTTGTTACCATCTGCAAGTCTATATTCTTTGTTTTTGAGTTCACTATTTGTATCCTTTCATAAGGAATAAGCTCAACAAAGGCAGGGATTTTCTTTTGTCTGTTTTGTATTTTATGGGTCTTACTGGAAGCCTTGATTTCATATCCACATTTCTCTCTTCATAGCTACTAGGAGTGTTGCACTCTGCTCACAGTTGAGTGCCTCTTCAGGTCAAGTCCGTAGCTGAAGAGAGTCATCTGGTCTGAGACACACTCCCTTTTGTGTGTTGCCCACAGGATTGGTGATAAATGGGGGATGTAAGGCCCAGCCCCATCATCTCAATTGAGCAGAACTCATAAGGACCATCTATCTTGAGAACTCCATATCGGTTGTGATCTGGCTTTTTAAAATCTGCACCAATAAAAATTCTTCTCTTCCTAATCCACAAACATAATTCCTAAGAGCAACCATCAGTAAACTTCGCATAACAGAAATCTCAAAGTACTTCCTGGTAAATCCTGACAGACTCACAAATGAAGAAAGTGAAATAACCTTTCTGGGGTCACTTGGCTAATTAAATGGTAATCCAGGTCTGAAATCCATAGAATTGAGAGCTCCAGAGACTGTGCTTTGAACTACTGCCTCCTATAACTACTCATCTGTTACATGTCTACACAAACATACATGTGTGCATGCGTGTGAGTGTGTGACAGGGTCCTGCTGCTTTGCCAGGGTGACATCGATTTTCTGGACTTAAGCAATACTCCTGCCCAATTTACAGTTAGCTGGGGTTCAGGTGTGCAACATCATGCCTGACTTATATTTTTTAATCATAAATGTTAAATATATTAAACACCTTAGAGTAAATACTTATAGCAGAAGAAGGGGATTAGGGATAGGGAGACAGAGGGGCCTAACAGAAGACAGGAGATGGCAATCATTATATGCTATGAACTTAGAAGAATAATTAACTTAAATAACAGACAATAACACAGGCCCACAGGGTTTAATACTGCACTGAATAGAACAGATGATTTCAGAAGTTAAATTGAGAGTGGGAAAGGTATAAGAAGAAGGCATTTAAATTGTTTTTTTCATAGGATTCTTGGTAAAAAGTACAATTTATATAAAGCACAGAATCTGAGGTCTGGTTTAGTCATTGTGAACAGCTACTACCAGAGGCAGGATAACTTTGAAGACAGTTTCCTTCCTTCCTGAAATTTCAGGATCATGTTAGTTACCATATTTGCCATTGGGTCTGCAGTAAGATATTCATCCTTTCTGATCTTTATTCAAGGGCTACCGTTGTGATTAAATAATTTAGGTATTATCTATTAGTTATCCTTTCAACATTTAAGAAATCATAGGGCCTTTTAAACATGATTATACATGTTCACAGATTTACCCAATTCATATTCTAATATTGAACAGAACTGTATAGTACAATCTTTCCTTCTATTTTAAAGAAATCTCTTTCTAAAAGTCTCAGATCCACCTAGAAATACTTTGCCATGTTTATAGCCCTGTGAAAATTTTTTCCTTATAATACACAGAATCGAACCCATACCACAAATCCCTCCCATGTCGTCTTCATTGGTTTCCTGTTGGGACAATATGCCTGCTGCTCTAGTTTTAAGAATTATTATTTATTGTTTTCAAATGTTTAACATTATTCCTCCTCTCTTATCTATCTTCTGTAATTTAAGTTTCTTTGGATACATTTATGTTCCACAGTATATACAAAAAAGGTGATTTTACTTTCCTTCAAGGTTTCAAAGCTAGATGTTTCCTTTAAGTACTAAAAACTGTATTGAATTCATACAGCTATTATTATCCTAGCATCAATATTTTAAATCATGGGCTTAAAATTAGTAATTAAATATTCAAGTCTAATTAAATTGTTCATAGAAATTATATTCTTAGAGTAAATGGGAATAAAATGCAAAAAAATGAATTCTTATCATTTCATCTTTAATTTTTTGAAGTTGAAAGTTGCTCGCATTCATTTATTATGATCATCTTTCCTGTAAGTAAATACTATTCTGTTTAACTGATAAAATAAATGAATCACCCAAGGAATTGGAGACTAAAACTCTATTAGGTATCCTTAAAGTCAATTAAAAAATCTAGAATGTGAATCTCTGAATTCATCATTCAAAACCATTTCTATCAACTACACATAATGACTAAATTCTTCCTCTATATATAATTTTTAAAAACACATATGGACAACTCAGACAAAAATTTGTAGCATCCATTTCACTTTCCCAAACAACCTCTAGAAATTCAGAAAACTATTACTGCTCTATTGGAGGGAGAAAAAAATTCTTATTTGTAAAATGGTATTCATGTGTGAAATACACTACCACACAGCCAAGCTAATAATAAAGTTCCCTTCTCTTCCCTTTTCACTTTCCATCATTCTCACTTTGTCTCCCTCCTTCTGTTTGCTTCTTATATTTTTCCAACATTAATATCCATTACATGTTCCTCATTCATTCTACTTCTATGTTATTACTCCATTTTGGTATTGTTTCTCTTTGAAGTAAAGAGAAAGCAAGATAGATTCCAACTCATGAAAAGCTGAAATAAGATTTCAGTTGAGGTTCAGATAGCTCA